ATTGCCAATCTACACCTAGGTTTTCTTAAGTACTAGACTTGGTACACAAGTGCTCGAAAGTGTTCCGGAAAATTATATTTAGGTGCTCCAGAGTGCTACAAATTTCACATTTAGGTGCTCCAAACTGCTCCAAAATTAATGGTTCCGAAAAATTATATTTAGGTGCTCCAGAGTGCTACAAAATTCACATTTAGGTGCCCCAAAATGAATATTTTGGTGCTCCAAACTGCTCCAAAATTAATATTTGGGTGCTCCAGAAATTGTTCCAAATCTGGTCCCGGCAGTAGCACCACTGAAAATTTCTGCCCACATAAGTTAGCTATACAGAAAGTGGTTCTGTTCCATGAGGAGGGGGACTGATTCAACGGATGACTTTTACTGTGTACAGGTGATCATTCTTTCTACACACTGCCTACCAGGCGCTCACAGATCCGACATGAGGATGCTCCAGCAGGCATTTCCTGGAGTATTTTTTAAACGGGCTCAAATTTCCTTTCGCCGCATTTTCGCATTGAGCTCGAGTCAGTATCCTCCGTCCACTTACACACGTGCATCAACTATTAGCTATGCAGTTCCGAGCAGAGCATCAGAAAATGCCCTCTCTGGTTAGAGGCAGTGTAGTATGCGTGCAGAGCTGCTCTCTGGGTGCCCTCTGGGCTTTCTTTGCCGTTCGGTCCAGGGGCTTCAGTAATGGTAATGTTGAACACAGCGTGAAATTGGTCGCGCCCAATCGGCGTCTGGAGTGTCTGCTGTAGACGAGAAATTTGGCGAGGGCAGCACGACTGCTTGCGTGGGATCTTTTTCAACGTTCGTCACGCAGTAGCGGTGCACGACCGCCAGTTGGCCGGGTTGGGGATAGAGCCCAGGATCCCTGAGGTTTGGAGCACGAGCTTTCGCTCCACGTGCTCCGAGCTGGTGTGCGTTAGCACGCTCGCGAGATCCAACGGGACAGTGCTATTGTGTGTGCACGAGTCCTGTTTCGCTAGTCTATTTGGGCCTCTAAACTGAGGAAACACAAAGTGGGGCTCGAAGTTTACGGAGCGAACCGATTTAGCCTATGACGACGATGACTTCGCACTTTTTTCGCCGACGTCCAATCGGCGGGCTCGGCGAACTTTCGGCTCCAACTTTGTGTTCGACGAGTTTAGGGCCCTTGGAGTTAGATATCGGTTAACATTTTGTACGGTTGAATTTCGCACGTTTACTTTTTCTAGCTTGTGCAGACGGCAGGTATTGGTTTCCATGATGCAGGGATAGAAGTTGGACCCAGAAGTAGATTTGCGCCTCCTCTCAATTCGCACTCGGAACACGAGCACAAATCGTATTTCCATGTTTTCAAAATCCGCAGGAAATTTTTGTTTGGTGTTCCATGGCAAAGTGGGTCGTCCAGCCTTTTTCGTAAAAGAAGATAAGGTGCAAGTCTCGCAAGGTGAACAATCAGTCCAGTAATGCAATCGTGCATTGACGTCAAATGGGACTGCTACATTTGTATTTGTACGATGTTTTGTTGGTGGGCTGTAAAATTTTTTAAAATAATAGTTCAGTCGAGAATTGCGGGCGAGTGGAATGCACTTTTACGTGGACGAAAAAGAAAATACCCACTCAGAAAGCAGCCTCGGGCAGATCTCCCAAGAGGAAATGCAGGAAATTTGGCGTTCCATTGACTTCTTTGTTTTGTTTGAGCGGATGTGACAAATGAGGCTCCCTCATCTGGTACTGCGAGGCTGGTTTTCGACCGCATGACGTCACCTGTGCGTCCAGTGTTTCGTTGGGCGGTTCTGTGAGAAGAGCATCTGGTGTCTCACGCAGGCACGGATGAGAACGGCAGGGATAAGTATCAGTTGCTCCAGCGTGAACTTCCGGCCTTCGATAAAAATTCTACCTTTCGTGAGCTTCGAGCGTGCTCGCGGAGCCAAAGCACGGTGGAAGGCGTCGAGGTGGTGTTTGAGGCGGGGCTCCCGGCCGTCCTCATTAGTCGGTGCATGCTGTCGGCTCGTTGAACTGCACTACATAAAACTTGCGGTAAATGGTTGACGAACGGGTGCACAATTCGCAGTTTCAAACGCATTCTGTCCGTTTTTTTTTGTTGTATTTTTTGCGCTATTTTTATTTGCATGTTGCCGTTGTTGTCTACTGGTCTGTAGAGCTTGTGAGCGTGCGCGGTGGCTGTCTTCTGCCAATTATCAGTCGTCGCGCACGCGTCCACCACAACTCGGTGACTGCATCTTTTCTCTCTTTTTTCTTGTCTGGGAAATACGCGCCGTAATTTTTCGGCCGGTTGCGTTGGCCGTTTGCAGCCAATTCCGGAGCATCGTGGGTCGTTGCTCTCTTTTGCACGCCTGCTCCTGTCTGCCGTGTTTCCCCGGGCCCTTGCAGCACCGGGAAGAGTAATTGTTTTGATCGACACAGTTTTAATGCCGGGCTTTGCGAAAACTGCGATGGGCCGGCCGACATATCGCAGGGACGGTTTTATTTTCCCTCATTTCCTAAAAGCTTCGTTTCCGCTATCGCCTGCCGATTCCCCTCGCCGGAAGTGGTTGACGTCACGGCAGCCAGTTTTTCTGTTTCCCTCGTTGTTGTTTTTTTTTCGCGCGCGCGTGCGTTCCACTTTTCGTAGATACTTTGGACAAAAGCGAATTACGTGACGTGAGCAGAGGCGCTCTCTTTCTCTCCTCTTGGCTGGCCGCTGTGAAGGTGATCGATTTTCGAAAACGCCGACGACGGAAGGCGGGCGGAAAAGGGAGAGATACTTCCCTCTTTTTTTTTTTTATCCCTTAGCTTTGACTTTGTGCACTTACTCAATTCAACTCTCTCTCCACCTCGTCATTGAGTTGGACGCCAAATTTCATCCTTTTCTCTCCCTGCGGTGAAAACTGCAATTCGCGTTAATTCGTTTTTTTTTTCTGGAACCGGACAAAGAAGCAGGCTGTTGTGGTCTGGTCGCGGCGGCGGGTGGTTTCGGGAAAGCAATCGTCCTGTTCCTCCCGCCCGCCCTCCGAAACGCGCGGGATTGTTGTTGTTACGGGCGTCGTCCCTCTCGCTGTTTGCAAGGGTCCAGGCGGAGAAGCGTAAAGAGAGAGGGAGCTAGAGCCGGGGCGTGATTTCTGGAGACCATGCGATCGTGCCTCAAAACGCCAAAGGGTGCGGCGCCGGTTGCTCGGAGCTCGGGCCCCGTGTTCTGTTTCCTCCTCCCTTCTCCTCTCGTCGGCGCTCTCGCGCGCGCCGCCTCCTCCTCACTCGAGCGGCCCGGATTTCGTCCGTTGACGTCACGCGTACGTCATGGGCCCCGCGCAAGCTTTGCCAATAGAAAAAAAAAGAAACGCGGAGGAACGGGCCCAGAAGGTCACGGGTGTCACTGGCGCCTCGCGCTGTGCCCTGGCTAAGGAAGGGCAGGGCCGGTTTGCAAACCCCAGCCGTTTTTTTTTTTTTTCCTCTTTTTTCCGGGGTGCTTGCACTGTGAGGCTTTTTGTCTTTATGACGGAAGAAATGTAGGAGACAAAGATGTAGGGTGTCAAGGCACGTTTCGGTAGTTAGCTGTTCTCGCGACATTTTTTTTGCGGTTTTTTTTTTTTTGGCTTGGTTACAATTGTAGCTTATTTTATTTGCACTGGTACAGAATCCCGAGGTGGCACATTTTGCTAGCTAGTAGGGTGGCTAGCTAACCTCGTGATTTTTGTTTCTGGTCGGTTTATATCTGAGGTTTGTTTTATTGGCAGCAATACAAAATCTCAGAGGTTGGACTTTTGAGGCAGAGTATGTTTGCAAGCGCTAAATAAACACTCCTGCACTTGTGTGTGTGCATGTTTTTTTTTTTTTTGATAGTAGATTAAAGTTGGTTTTTTGCTATATATATATATATCTATATATATATATAGTGTCATTGTCGGGCATTTGCTTTTGGCATACTCAGGTAGGTATTACTATTGTTTTGGCTCACCACGGCACAGCCAAGTGAAGTTAAACTTTTTATAAATTAGCTTTAATTCAGAATCCTCCTTTGTGCCCGTGCAGGTCACTAAATCATTTTCTCGTTGGTTTTGTCATAGTCCTAGTGCCAGTGAGGCTGAAGAAGTTTAGTTTCGTCTGCTAGGGGTGTGGGATGCATGGAGCTCTAGTCTGTCCATGTGCTTCCTTGTGCCAATACAAAGTCCAAAGGTGCTGCTCATGCAATTCTAGACAGTGAAAGCATACAAAGCATAGAAAAGTGTAAACAAAGTACAAGCATAGCAGTTCCTGGCAGGTATAGCTGAAAAGAAAACCTGGAGATGATCAGAATGGTAGGCAAGGTTTGCTAAGGGTTTGCTTAGTCTCTTAGCAAAACATTGACTGCCATTCTGATGAAATTTTGTCTGCCTGCATGACAAAGTTTCAGGATGCGGGTAGCGTGTGTGAAGGGCAGTCTACACTGAACATTGCTTGTGTTGTGCGTGACAAAAGATGCACGCGGAGCGGATCTGGGAAGAGGAGTTTGGCGCACACGCTCATGGGGTGTGGATATGACTTGCTGTGTACGACAAAAATACCCTTGAGTGTGGCAAACCCTCGATACAGTTGACGTGAATATGGCATCGGGCCACTTTAGTGTTTCACTCATTCAGGCTAGTGCTAAGCACCCTTATCTTTCACACCCTCCCGCTGTGAAAGAAAAATAGAAAGCAATCGATGATCACTTTTCCGTGCCAACTTTGCCATGTGCACTTGGACTCTGCCACGATAAAATTCTGGAGCAGTGCCATTGTCTGCATGTTTTCCCACATGGCTGCACTCTTGGTCTATTTGTGCAGCACATGACGGAGTGAGCCCGATCACAGCGCTGGTACTGTCTCCTATTTTACTAACACAGGTTAAAAGGCCCCTAAAAATAAAATAAACATGTTCTTTTAAAGAGTTGAGACACGTCAGTGCTGTGATTGCTGCGCCAAACTGTGCCAAGGGGCTAACCCTGTTCCAAAGGGGCAATTTCTTTTATATACTGAGCAAATTCCCCCCTGTCGTTGCAGGATGCACGGAAAGCGGCATGTGATACCACCCTGGTGCAAGCGACGGCCAACATGGAACCCGTGGGGCGTATCCAGATGCGGACGAGACGCACGCTACGGGGACATTTGGCCAAGATCTACGCGATGCACTGGGGCTCTGATTCCCGGTGAGGTTACACGGGGAGGCGGACTGGGATCGCGATGAAATGGGAAGGGGGTTTCTTTGGGACAAGTGTAAATCAGTCTTGGTCACCCAGACGCCTGTGTAAACATACCTTCTAGTTACTGACAACAGACGCCGGGCGTTGCAAGTCCCCAAGTGTCCGGTTATCCCTCCGCAGCCAATGAGATTGTGGAACTAGGCCACAAGAAGGACGAATCACGATGCAAGAATGTTTTTTAAACTGTCGGCAGCTATAGTAGTTTTCTTATTTTTAATACACCCAAATGAAATAAATTTATTTGTTCAATCATTTGTACCCTACGTGTGGTAGCAAATGTGCAGATACAGCACCAATCAATCGGGCAAAAAAAAAAAGAAAGCAAAAACATAAAAGTAACCAGCATTTCCAAAATCTGCTATTCTGCAAATGACAGCAGCCGGAAGGCGACTCCGGTTCCATATAATTGTCGGTAGAAAAGATTTCTAAAATTTTTATTTGGATGAGAAAAAAAGATTAGGATGTTCACATAGTTGCCTAAAGTTCGAAGGATCCTTAAATATGTATAAATTTGCAATTAGTGTAAGCGAGCGCCATTCTGTTTTGGCCCTTTTATTTTATTGTGCCGAGCGCATTCCAAGTGAGCACCATTGTGTTTTGCCCTTTTCTTTTATTTCGCTGGGTGCCAGGTTGTGTTCTCGGGAGGTTGTGTTTATGCTAACTCCTCGGCATCAAGGGTCTTGCACCTGGATGCCCGCGCCATGAAGTTGGACTGGCTGGCGTGGGGCAGGATGCAGATCGGGTTACAGCCTTGGGGGAGATCAAGCTGGGCAAGAGAACTATGCGCCAGTCTAACAGCGGGACTCAAAGCGAGAGTGTGTGCGATGGTGGTCACGTGATGGTGGTACACGATCACCAATAGTGTCTGTCTTGTGAACCAAAATTTTATCGAGAATATTAAACCCAGTGTTTCTTTAATTACCAAAGACCCATTCGTCAAGACCTCTTTTATTATCAAGTTCTTTTATTTGAAACAACCATCGATTACATTAGTGCCCGAAGTACTTGTAGTGTTCCAAATTTCACATATATGGGTGTCTTATATTTCTTTTGAATTGTGCATGACATCTGTAGTCCTCAGTAAATGCCCTTAATATTGCAGCATTGTTTACCTAGTTTGCTGGAGCTACTTAAAGGGGCCCTGCAAGGACTTTTTTTACTGGTTTTTAATTTGCACCGAACTTGGGCTCACTGAGCGTAGTAACTTAATGAAATTTTTCTTTTCTCGAATTTCGCTTTATCTTAAGTTATAGGCAAATTTAAATTACTAAAACGAGCAAAAAATAACCTCCTTCATGACGTTCTTGTTCGCTTGAGTGGCCGTAAACTAGAGGAGGGGTAGTGAGCTCAGCGAGCGCTCACGGCTGCCGCACTCAGTGTCGACGGCTCGAGAGGGTGCCACTAAAGCATGTTCTGGATAGGCTGTATGAAGCGGGCAGCCAGGGTGGCTCGCATTGCATTTGCTGCGCGGTTAAACACTAATTCGGCATGACACTTCATTGGCCATTAACGACTGCAAACACGGGGTAAAAGATCAGTTCAGGAACGGGAGCCACTTTTCACTGTCATACCGTCAAACGGCCAAACCGCAAGCCAACCGCCTTGCCAAAGGCCTTCGAAATGCTTGGAACGGATCGGGTCCTCAAGCCTGTCTACGACCACAGCACCTCCGCATACATCCGGGACCTTTCTAAGCTCGCCACTCATCGGTGCCTGATCCCACTACACCTTTCTAGTATGCGCCGCCTTTTCCACGAATTGGTGGCGGGGGTATGTCGACGGGTCATTTCTTGTTTCCATACTTTATAAACTGTATTTGTTTCTTTTCTGATCTAAAATACTGAACAAAAACCACTTCCATAAATAATTAAAACGGTTTGCGCCACTTATAATTTGTATTTCGACTAAAAAGAAGCTTTTAGCGACTCTGACCAGTTGCAAGCCCAGGACCAAAGTCGTCGCATTTCGCGCGCTTTTGGCACCGCACGTCGCCCCCGTAGGTGGTGGAGGTTTCCGCGTCGCCCGGTTTGAAATATGACGCACTGATATTTAGTTACTCTCTCCGTGCCCGCTGGCTTGCCCGAACCCCAGAAGACATAGAAACTGCAAAAAAGGTAGACGCTTAAATATGATCGCAAAACCACTAAAAATAATTTTTTTTTTTTTTAAATAGCTTGATTGGAACACGCGTGCCAAAAAATGAATAAAAAAAAAAAAAAATTAGGGCGGGCAATATTGGCTGCGCAAGATTTATTTTACATTTTGCGTGCAAAGTCTGACGTCACGGAATGGTCCTACACCCCTTCCACCTCATTGAGATGGTCATACACTCTCTGTACCTCAACGTGATGGCCAAGCCAATCCACCTCTCTTCCACGCACCCGAAATGCAGAGAAAGAAAACAAGTGGAAAGGAGGCGACTACTACTAAATCACGTATCACGCCGTCAATATTGCTTTAGTCTTTTTTTGTTTTTTCACAACAAAATTGTTTTTTAACAAATCCCCCCAAATTAAAAAAAAAGAAATTTTATTTTCAGTGGTTTTTTAAATTTAGGCAATCATTTTATGGCTTGCAAATGTGGCAAATACTGATGACGTGAAGTGGGGGGGGGGGGGGGAAGAATTACCATTGAAGCATGCCATATGTGTCTGGCAACTACTCTTGTTCTTTGCTCGTTGAGAGATGTGTTTAAAGGCAATGTTTACACAAGAAAACATTTATGTCAAAATTGTTAGGCCTACATCATTTCAGTCAACTTTAGTATGAGAGGAGTAAAAGAAACAAAATTACAATTCTCCAAGCCGCTGTGAGTGGTTAAAATATGTTGTAATCAAAATTTGTGCTGCTGTACAGTCATTTTTCTTTCATTGTATCATACTGAAGTGGAAAATTACACAAAATGCAGTGTTAAAAAAAAAAGTTGCTTCATACTTTGTTTTATTTGAAGTGTACAGTGCTGTCAAAGCTTTCAGCACGAGCCCATGGCTTTATCTAACATCTTATTTGCATTAGGGCATGTGCAAAAAAAAAAAAAAGACGAATCTGTGAACCCGTGCCAACAGATGTTGCAGCATCGTGCACTACATTCAAAAAGGAGTACAGGGTGTTGCAGTCTGAGCTCACTATATGGCATTGCAGCTGGGGCAGCATAAAAGCCATACTGTCTTGGACACGGCTGGCTATAACATTGGCAAGAGCCGCGGCATTGTCTGCCTCGTGCCTAGCTAGTGACCAAATGGGAGTGTAAACACAAACTGGGAGAATAATGAACATCAGAGGGGAATTGAAAGTCTGATTTCTTTTGTAGAGCATATCACACTGGGATCACAAGAAAACCACCGCTTGCGCATCATAGCCAGCTGTGTCCACGATAGCACATTAAGCTGTTAAGAAAAAGTGGTTAAATTGACCTACCATATTTCTCGCTGTCGTAGTGTGGCGGTCGACTTCATAACTTAGTATGCCGGAAACACTTCGTGCGGCATTTTACTCCCTTTGGCTAGCACTTTACCTTACTCAATGTAGCCTGGCAGAGGGTGAAGGCTACAACAGTCTTGGCGAGCTGACCGACGTGCCGAAGGGATGCACGTGACTACACTCTGTCTCACTAGTTGCGCGCAGTACTGTTAAAGTCACGAATAAAAGACAGAAAAACTGTTTTCGTGAAAAATTTGAGTTACTTGCTATAACCTACGAGGGGAACAAAAGCGATGTCTGGATTACAAGACATGGGGGAGTTCCCCTCTTCTCCAACTGTGCTTGGGTTATGCTCTCGCCTCTGTACATTTGGTAAGCGCTGCCACGTGCTTCGCCTCCGTCGCTCCGATTGGCTTGAGGGGGTCGTAGCGTTTGCTCTTTGCCAAGTTAGGTGACATATTGCCGCAGATTGCATAGAGACTTCTCCCCGTCCGACTCGACTGATGTGGTCTCCCCCCTGCAGCTACCTGGTGTCGGCGTCCCAGGACGGCAAGCTGATAGTGTGGGATGCATACACCACCAACAAGGTGCATGCGATCCCACTGCGGTCGAGCTGGGTGATGACGTGCGCCTACGCCCCGACCGGGAGCTACGTGGCCTGCGGGGGCCTGGACAACATCTGCTCCATCTACAGCCTGAAGACGCGCGAGGGCAATGTGCGCGTCAGCCGAGAGCTGCCGGGACACACGGGCTACCTGTCTTGCTGCCGCTTCGTCGACGACAACCAGATCGTCACCAGCTCCGGGGACATGACCTGGTGGGTCTTCTGGCATGCTGGGAAGATGTGCCGAGAGGCCCTCGTTGGCCTTGTCAAGGTGTCCGCGGCTATTCGAGTCTCCAGCTCGACGCTCGCCCTCCTGCGGCAGAAACGGGAAGCGGTCCAGTGAGGGTCCCCGATTTTCCTGTTCAGCGGGAACGGCGGAACTGCGCGCGATCATGGCTCGCGAAACGTCATTTCCGAATGCAAACAACACTCTTCACTGTCACAACGTAGTGCTGCTGACGGTGTGGGATTGTACCTTACTGGAGTGTTTTAGTATTGCGCATAGAAGCCAACGCAAGTGGTGTGCGTTTGCGTTAGAGTTGAGTTTCGCTTTTGCAGTGCGCTTTTGTAAAGGAGGGAAGGTCGACGACGTTTTCTCTTTTGTTATCTTGAGGCACGCGCAAACAACATTAAAAAAAAAAAGGAAACTGACCTTGTTTATTTGCTTTCACTTATATTTGGCTGTAATATTTTGGTGTTCAATTTTGTTCAACTAGCTCCCATTTTTGGTTGCCTCTATACTATACCTATCGTGGAAGGCACCTCCTACTACTCCCTAATGCCTAGAACGACACAACCACACACGGATGCACATTTATATATTTAATGTTTGATAGAATCTTAAATCAGTTGGTAGCGTAACGTGCGGCAACACAACGCTCGGAGTTGGTTGCCGCACGTTATAACGTAATCCTGCAAGGGTACGCCGGCGGCGCTGCAGATTTTAGCCGTCCCAGTCTTGCCTCATTTGGCCACGGTGGCGCTGATGATCAACAGACGGTGGCGCTCTCTGGGACCCTGCCTAGATCCTATAGGACTGGGGACTCGCGTCAATGAAGATGTGCAGCTTGGTCGCATTCTTGTCGCAAGCATAGTGACGTGGAATTGAGATGAGGTAGAGCCTCTATCCATTGGTTCCACCTTACACTCACTCCTGGCGGTAGCTGTGTGTCCCAGTCGATCCCAAGCGTCCAGAGCTCTTGGAACAGCATCTTTGCCGATATTGTTTCTGGGCTGAGAAGTCCAAAAGGGTCGAAGATCCTCGCCGAGGCTTGCAGGACGAAGTGCTTGGTGTTGCGGTTGATGGTCAGGAGCTCCAGAGTGGTTCCCAAGGGATACTTAAGCTCATCTCTATCTCTGTCCTGCTCGAGTCTTAAAACTCGCGTCACAGCAGAGTTTGGAGTTACTGTCTCACAGGACGGCCTCCAAAGTCCATCTTCATTAAATCGTTGCTGAAGAGAGTCGCTGTTTGAGCTCCACTTTCTCCACTTCATCCCCATTGAGCTCAGAATTCGCTGAGCTGCTTCGTAGAGGCTTGTAGCTCTTTCTACCGTGTCTGCGCCAGTGATCAAGTCATCAACATACAAACAGTTGCTCAGTACTGTTGCTGTGTCCGCCAAGTCCTGAGAGACGTTGACAAGGTGATGCTTGACAGTCGCTGCTAGCATGAGGGGGCTGCTTGTAGCGCCAAATGGAACGTGCCGAATGGAACTTCAGTTTCTGCATTTGTCGAGTCTCCTGATGGCGGATGCGTGTACTATAAGGAACGGAGGGCATTTCGATCCTCTTGCTTGACCACAATTTGTAGGGAAGCCTCCTCTATGTCGTAGTGAGTGTAATCTCATGGCATCGGAAGTTGAGCACAGTTTTGAGGAGGTCAGGGTTGAGATGTGGACCGGTGGCCAATGCGGCGTTAAGGGACTGACAGCCAGGCGCCTTCGCAGAAGCATCAAACAGGATGCGCATCTTGGTTGTGGAGCTATCGGGTCGGAAAACAGCATGATGCGACATGTAGTTGACTCTGTCTGAAGTGACATTGACCTCAGCCTCTGTCACCTCCCCAGCGAAGCCCTCTCTCAGGTAGCTGTGGATCGCTGTGTCATACTCGGTTAGCCTTTCGTTGTTGCCTCTCAGTCGACGCATCAGTCTGTCCAGGCACTCTCCTGCGATGGCTTCATTGTTCACCAGAGGGCAATCCAGGGACTTCCAAGGGAGGTTTGCCTCATACCGACCATCGACGAGGGCAAGGGATGAAGTGAAATCTTCCCTTGCTTTTTCTTTCTCTCCTCCCTCTGCACAGTCATTCGCTGTGATTCCGAGGCACTCTAGTTTTCAGAAGGCTCGAAGTTCGTCCGAGGGGCTTGATGTCTGTTCCACGACTGTCGCAGTGGTGCAGGATACCACGGGGTAATCTGAGGAATAGGGCATTGGAGTATCCAGCCAAAGTCCGTCTTGACTGCAACCAAGGGTCCCTCCAGCTTGCGGACCTCTCCACTCAAAATCCTCCAATAGTGGTCTGCTCCAACTAATATTTCGATGGCTTGTGTAAGTTCGTAGGCAGGTGGGAATGTGACAACTTCTAGCTCCGCTCTGCCAGGCCAGCAGTTTTGATCAGCGTCCGGCAGGACTAGTCGGTCGGAACAAATGTCCTCAATCTCGAGGGCCTCCATACAGTGCTCCTTACAGCTGCACTGGCTTCTCAGCCACACTTTCACAAGACGTCGCTTCTTCTTCGTGACGTTAGTTGCTCCGCCAAAGGGATAGATTGTTACCTCCTCCTTGCCTGTGACCTCTACCTTCAGTTCTCGTGAAAGGTGCTCAGTGACGAATGAGCATTGACTGCCCCGATCGAACAGACGGCGAGCTAAGCGCCTCCGGTTTCGTCCGTCGACCCACACTTGAGCAGTCTGCAACAACCCAGTGTTTTTGCTGGTGGAATTTAGTGATGCCGTGGAGTGCGGTTCGGTAGCAGTCTCGCCGCTGATAGATGAAGCAGGGGGGTCACAAAGCGGGGTGATGTGGCGTCGATTACACGTCGTGCAGCGAAGGGTCCGATTTCTGCACTCCCTCGCAGTGTCCTTTCTTCGCGCATCGATAGCACCTTCTCTCAGTTCACAGCTTCTTCTTTTCTTCTAGTGGTATCCTTGCGTTGCACTGCGATGTGTCGTGTGAGGGGGAAGAGCAGAAGACACACCTTTCATTTGAGGGCTTGGCTCCAACAGTGAGGGAAGCAGCTGATCTCCTTCCTTTGGTGCTGTCGCTTAGGTTGGGCTTGTGTGCTGCCATCGTGCACCTTCTCGCGCCTGGTACGAAGTGATCTTAAAATGGCGTCAAGAGTCGAATCATCGGGCACGACCTTCCGCTTGCCCTGTGCCTTGTGCTTGTAAAACTCCACTGCCCAATCCGCAGGAAACACGCGGAACAGAGTGGCACACAATATCGCCCCGTAGCTGTCGGACTTGACGCAGAGGATCTTCAGTCCGGCGATGTTCTTGTGGATGTGGTTGTGGAGGCGCGGGAGGGTGACGACATTGCTCAGTGATTTCACGTGCAGCAGATTTAACAGCTGCGTAAGGTGCTGTTGAACCAACACATCTTGCTTCCCAAATCTTTCTTTGAGCAACTCCACAACGTAGGTGTAGTTTTGCTCTGTAGCTTGGATGCCGCTTATTGATGCTGCCGCCTTTCCAGTCAACGCCGTTTGGAGGTACAGAAACTTCTCTACACTTGAAAAGGCGTCATTCTCATGTATCTCTTGGTTGAATTGCTCCCAGAATGGAAGCCAATCCAACCTGTTCCCGTTGAACTGCTGTAGCTCGAGCTTCGGCAGCCGAAGCTGCCCTGCACGGTGTTCGGACTGGCCGGTCGATCGGGCGTCTCTTTCAGAAACGCTGTTCCCGCTGACTGATGACGTTCCTCGTTGTAGGTGTCCGATTCGTGTTCGCATCCGTGTTACGAGTCCTTGGCCTTCTCAAACGCCTTGATACTCTTTGGCAAGGTTCGCGTTCGTCACTAAGGCTCGATGAGCGCGTCTTACTGGTTGAGCTCTCTTGCCAGGATCTCCAGATCGTCCGTGATCTTCGAGAGTCTCTTCTTGTTCAGGCTCCTGGTCTTCGGTTCTCGTGGCTTGAAGCTCCTCGCTGAGCCCTTGGATTTCGGATCGAGTCACCGCTTGTTTCGTTTGAAGGCACTCCATGCTTGTCGTTCTTCTCGTTAGACCTAGTTCGTTGCGGCCTCTTCAAAGTGTTGTTTCGTGTCGAAGCGTCGTCAAGTTTCTAGGTTCCGTCGCGTCGCTATTAGCCCCGAGAAGTTCGCGTGGCGCCCCCTTAAGGCGAACCGGGGTGACGTCACAACGAGGAGAGAATTTTTCCCGACTCGCCTCGCTCGCCTGGTGGAGGCTGTGGCGGCGCTAGCTGTCGGCGCGCTCATTTCTATCCAATTTCTTTTCGGCATGTTTTTCGTAGAAAGTGTAAAATTTAATATTTGCCCTTATTGAGGTATGGCTTGTAGCTACAGGCGAAACATGAACCAACATTTTAAGCATGATTGACAGGGCAACCAACGCATGAATCGCAGCTGGTATATGAAAATAAAGAAATATGGCCACAATTGCAGGAGCATCACAATAGATTTACATCTCTCACAATAAATGCTGCTGATAATCTGAATGAATTGGCAGGTTATGTATACTACAGTCAAAACTCGTTATAACAGACCTGGTTACAACAAACATAAGGATAAAACATACAGATTTGTGAAGTTCGGTTGGATTTCCTCTATGCACGATAGACTCAACTTCATATCTGCATACAACATACTCGTTTTACAACAGACCGAAATTTTGGTCAAAATCAAGGTCTGTTATTACAAGCTTAGACAGTATTTTCTTTATCTCTGTTTTTAGACAAGATCGCCGAAACAGAAAAGCTGCATGCTGCTCGAGCAATGTGCTGAATACTGTCTGGGCCATGGGGAGAGAATCACAAGTAAAACAGCCCAAATGCAGGGGCAAAGTAAAAAAAAACAAGGAACATTTATTGTATACATGCCTCGCATTTGACCTTTGCTGGATTCGGATAGTATTTCAATGGACTACATGGGTGATATCTGTGGACTTGTTTATATCAACCCTCAAGTAATGTATAACAAACGTAAGCGAAAATGTCTAGATCGTTATTAGTCCCTTAAGCCCTAAAATTGAGATTTTGCTTAAA